TAGATGATTGGAAGCAAGTAGAAATTATCTGCAATTACTTGAAGCTTTTCTTTGATGCTGTCAGCATTTTAACTGCCCCAGCATGCCCGACTGCCAGTTCATTCTACCATGAAGTGTCAAAAGTTCAATTAGAGTTGTCGCATGCAGCAATGAGCAATGACCCCTTCATCAGCAACTTGACTAAACCTTTGAAGGAGAAGTTTGATAGATACTGGAGTGACTGCTTCTTAGTTTTGGCAATTGCTGTGGTAATGGATCCAAGATTCAAAATGAAGCTTGTTGAATTTAGCTTCACTAGGATATACGGTGAGGATGCTGGAATGTGGATTAAGATTGTTGATGATGGTATCCATGAGCTCTACCTTGATTATATTGCACAAGCGCTTTCCTCCACGAAACATTTATTGAAGAAGGAATGGGGGCATCAGCCCTGAAGGGAATGGGAGCATCAGCCCTGAAGGGAATGGGGGCATCATCCCTAAAACTGAACCCCTGAAGAAGTATTCCATCAAGAAGTATCCCATGAAGACGTAGCTCATCAAGAAGTATCCCATGAAGACATAGCTCATCAAGAAGTATCCCATCAAGAAGTAGCTCATCAAGAAATTCCCATCAAGAAGTCACTCATCAAGAAAATCCCATCAAGAATTAGCTCATCAAGAAATATCCCAAGAATTAGCTCATCAAGAATATCCCATCAAGAATTAGCTCCAAGAAATATCCATCCAGAAGTACATTCTCAAGATCCCCTTATTTCTATTGGAGATGGACTTTCAGATTTTGAGGTCTATATCTCTGAGATCAGTGGTAGCCAGCAGATGAAATCAGAATTGGATCAATATCTTGAAGAGTCTCTTTTACCTCGGGTACAAGATTTTGATATTTTGGGTTGGTGGAAACTAAACAAGACAAAGTACCCTACTCTCTCAAGGATGGCTGCTGACATTTTGTCGATACCATTTTCTACTGTTGGTCCTGATTCTGTTTTTGACACTGAGAGAAAAAGGATGGATAACTACCGCAGTTCGTTACGTCCAGTGACACTCGAAGCTCTCATTTGTGCAAAGGATTGGCTCCAGTATGGAGCATTACAGAATGCAAATGTGAAACCGGAATTCTAGGTGTAGATTTCCTTTTTATCTTTCACAGGATACAGTCATCTTATGGTCTTTAGGTGTCTTAGTGCTATCTCGTGTCATTATAAATTCTCTTCCCCCTCAGAGATGGTTTACAGGATTCAGGTTAGCTGCTACTCATGATTCTTGGATTCAGTGAATCATGTCCTTTGATTAACATAATTTTCTGTTATGGTTATGGTGTTTTATTAGCTCCTCTCTTTTGACGGATTTATTGTTCTTTTGTTGTTTACATAACAGATCTACTGATGTATGTAACTTGCTTACAATTTATTGAGTAATTAGTAGCCTGGGCACAGCTATTTTTAGACCTGTTCATAATTTTCCTGCCAAGCTTCTTGTTCTGCATTGCCACAAGAAATTTGTACATTTCAATCGGAGTACTTGCTACAAAAAGATTGTGCAAGGGCAGCTATCTTTCACGGTAGAACTTACCCCACTTCCTGCCTGTGGCTAGGATGGATTGTGGGGCTTAATCTTCTTGAAAAAGGGCATGAATGAAAGGGTCAAGATGTTGGAATAATAGGATCAATGAGTTGATTCCATGTTATGAATTTGAGGCTATTCTTTGCAAAACGAACAGAGCTATTCTTTAATTGTATGAAACGGACACACAGATTAAAGTTTCAACAAGCTTGTAGGCTATCATATGGGTAATAAGGAATTGTATATACTTATCCATAAAAATTTATCGAATATAACCTATTAATTGATTAAAAATGAAAGGATATTCTGTGCCTGAGGTGAAGCAGCAAAAGCAGAGTGATAAAATGTTTGAAATATATTCCTTCCTCTTGCTAATCAACAAGCACCAGTGGTCTAGTGGTAGAATAGTACCCTGCCACGGTACAGACCCGGGTTCGATTCCCGGCTGGTGCATTCATGGAGCTATGATGCCTGCTGCGCTCTGGTGATGGTAGGGTCCATCACAACCGTCTGATCTCCAGACGACATCAGCGCCTCTGAGCTCTATACCTTTTATTCTTACTCCAAGATTTGATGTTGGACTAAGCTCACTTCGAGCAAACCAAACTGCACTTTTATGCCAATTTGAACTACCCATTTTACAGTCCTCTTTAATCCTTAACAGCAATATAATGATCTCCACTAAGACATCTACATCACTTACTCTCTTCTCCCACAACCTTGAGCCACCCCTCTTCCTTATAGAAACCTGCAAATCCATGGACCAACTCAAACAAATCCACTGCCAAACAGTTAAAACAGGCCTAATAAGAAAACCCATTTCCCAAAACAAACTTATTTCCTTCTGTTGCACCAATGAATCCGGTGACATGAACCATGCACTACAAATGTTCAATCAAATTTCTGAACCGAAGAGTGTCTTCCTTTGGAACACAATGATCAAAGGTTATTCTAGGGTAGATTGTCCAAAACATGGGATTTCAATGTATTTAAACATGTTGAAACAGGATGTTAAGCCTGATGATTACACGTTCCCTTTTCTGTTAAAGGGTTTTGACAGAGATGTTGGGTTATCATGTGGGAAAAAGATTCATGGTCATGTGGTGAAATTTGGGTTTGGTTCTAACGTTTTTGTGCAGAATGCTTTGATTCATATGTACTCTTTATGTGGCCAAATGGAAATGGCACGTGCGGTTTTTGATGTTAATTGTAAAATGGACGTGATTACTTGGAATGTGATTATAACTGGATATAATAGGATGAAGCAATATGATGAAACTAGTAAGCTTTTTGGTGAGATGGAGAGGAATGGAATGGTGCCTACTTTGGTTACTTTGGTTTCTCTGCTGTCAGCTTGTTCTAAGTTGAAGGATTTGGAAGTTGGGAAAAGGGTTCATAAGTACATCCAAAAATGCAAGGTGGAGTCTAATTTAACATTGGAAAATGCTTTGATGGATATGTATGCAGCATGTGGGGAAATGGATGTAGCTGTTAGCCTTTTTGATAGGATGAAAACAAGGGATGTAATTTCATGGACTACCATAGTTTCAGGGTTTGTAAATAAGGGGGAGATTGATTTGGCAAGAGATTATTTCGACCGAATGCCAGAGAGAGATTATGTTTCATGGACTGCAATGATTGATGGGTACCTTCGAGTGAATTGCTTCAAAGAGGCTTTGGTGTTGTTCCGTGAGATGCAAGCATTGAAAATAAGACCAGATGAGTTCACCATGGTGAGTATTCTCACAGCTTGTGCTCAGTTGGGGGCACTGCAAATAGGAGAATGGATAAAGACTTACATTGAAAGAAACAAAGTAAAAAATGATGTCTTTGTGGGAAATGCTTTGATTGATATGTACTCCAAATGTGGAAGTGTTGAGAAAGCTCAAAGAGTATTTAATGGGATGCCTCGGAGGGACAAATTTACTTGGACCGCCATGATTTTTGGTCTTGCTACTAATGGAAATGGAGAAGAAGCACTAGGTATGTTCTCTGAAATGCTAAGAGCTTCAATAAAACCAGATGAGGTCACTTACGTTGGCATTCTTTGTGCCTGTACCCATGCTGGCATGGTAGATGAAGGAAGAAAGTTCTTTGCTAGCATGACTACTGAACATGGGGTTCAACCCAATGTAGCACACTATGGGTGTATGGTTGATCTTCTAGGCCGAGCTGGACATTTACAAGAAGCTTGTGAACTTATAAAGAATATGCCAATGAAACCAAATTCAATTGTTTGGGGGGCTCTACTTGGTGGTTGTAGACTTCATAAAGATGTAGAAATTGCTGAAATGGCAGCTAAACAGATACTTGAGTCTGACCCTGATAATGGGGCTGTTTATGTTATGCTGTGTAATATATATGCATCTTGCAAAAGATGGGATAGTCTGCATGAACTTAGAGAATCAATGATGCATAGAGGAATAAAGAAGACCCCAGGATGCAGTTTGATAGAGATGAATGGAGTTGTTCATGAATTTGTCGCCGGGGACCAGCGACATCCTCAGTCTAAAGAAATATACTTGAAGTTAGACGAAGTGATGAGAGACCTAAAAGTTGCAGGGTATTCACCTGATACTTCTGAGGTGTTCCTTGATATAGGGGAGGAGGATAAAGAAAGCACATTGTACCGGCACAGTGAAAAGTTGGCCTTGGCTTTTGGGCTCATTTACTCTCAACCTGTGGTTACAATAAGGATTGTGAAGAACCTTAGAATGTGTGTAGATTGTCACCGTGTGGCAAAACTGGTGTCAAAGCTGTATGATAGAGAAGTGATCATTAGGGACCGAACTCGATTCCATCATTTCAGGCATGGCTCATGTTCATGTAAAGATTATTGGTGAGAATTCAGTAAGAGGCAGAGCATAACTAACAATATTCCTCCTGAGGTGTATCTAATGCCAGGCAACAGTAAATACCAGGATGTCTTTTCAGCAAGTATCAGCAAGGGAAGCCCAAATTTCAGAGCATTTGTTCTAAGATTATCTTGCCCTTTAACAATTTTTGTAGGCTAATTGCTCAAATCAGCTCTTACCCTGTGTTACGTTGCTCATATCAAGATCAAATCTTCTCAAGTGATACTAAGTTGCTCGATAAGCAGAATATTGAACTTGTTTTTTTTGCCAGTAGTATATTAAACTTCAACTAGGCTTCTATGCCCCTGTTCTGCGGTTAAAAATGGACAACTATGATAAAATTCAGCCATTGCAGGTTAGAACAATGGTTAAATTCAAAAGTCAACTGACTGTAGTTTCAGAAGGCCTAGTACTGGATTTTCCCTTTCAACAGTGTTACTCCGAGTACTTGCCTAGTAGGAGAGGACCTATCAGAGCTGCAAGTACTTACTGTTCTATATAAAGGAGCCTTGAGCTAAAACAGAAAGCTTCAACCTTGAGAATGGACATCCAACTTCACCTGGAAACACTAAAATCGCAAAGCAATTAACAAACAATATATGTCAAATCCTTAACTTTACTGTAATAAGCATATCTTCTCATTCAATCAGGTTGACATCTTGTTCTTTTGTCTTGCAACCAACATTTATACAAAACATAAGGAAGACTGTAAGATTTTCTAACAAGAATTAATGTTTCCAATCTTGTACTTGAACATAAGCCACAATTAGTTATAATATTTTCATACTTAACATACCCTACAGATTCTGGAATGTAGTGGTTACACGGAGCGTGCCAGAGACCCAGCTACTCCAAATTCACTAGTTCTGACTTAGAGATCAATTCACTTTCACAGTTGAAGCCATAGAGTGGCCATAGTTGGCAGACTGATTAACTTTCAGCTTGACCCTGGGTCAAGTACAGGAAGCCTGCAATGTAAACTGACTGATTTATCAGTTTGACGTGTACCAGGAATGAAGAACTGAAATATCACCGTCAAACAAGCACCTTGCAGAGCAATCCCATAAAAAGCACAGTCAGGCTTCGCCAGATGACACTGAAGGCTCCTAGAAAAGTGCTTTACACTCACTTGAACACTCTGTGCATCTCCCCTCGAGATTGCCCTCTCTGACCGAGACTGAGCACTCAGATTTCTATCCTCAGATGGAGCTTCAGCTTGTTCTCCAATAACCAACAATTTACAAAATTCGGCACCAAGTGTGATCAAAGTTGTTGAGATTTGCACATGTAGATCTCCATACTTGCTTATAGAGACATTTAGCAAATCACCAACATGCTTCATCCGTTCCACAAAGTTCTGCAATTGATTCAAATCTGGAACTTGAACCAGAGTCTGAGGTAGATCTTGAGCAATATCAAGTGCAGTTTGAAGCTCAAGCACTTGAGTCCTAGATAAAGGTTTTGATATTGGTACATCCTGAATGACAGCAGACTTATATCCCTTGGTTTCAAAGGTAAGAAAAGGCATAGGCTGAGTACAATTGGGAGGCAACTTCTTAACCAATTTAATTTGGAGACGGTTGGCAGAAGGCCCATTGCCAAACTCAGTACATATGCTCACACTACTCCGAACAGCACGAAGCAGAAGAGATACATCTATTGCAAAGGCAATGCGGTCCTCATTCTGACTTGAGATCCGATAGTCATCAAAGAGAGCTTCCTTCCGAAACTGGGCAATGCACTGCACTCCATCACCATTCAGAAGGTTGTGGAGGAAGATAGCATGGTCTCTGGTAAGGAATAAGTGGCATATCTTGCCCATTTTGTCTAAGGCTGGTAGAAACCGCCTTTCTAAAAGACTCACACCATGTTCAGTGAGAAATGCCTTGAACTTCATCTCAGCCTTTATTTACTGCCATGGAATCAGTGAGTTAAGTGCAACATATGCTTACAGTAGCAGATATAAAAGCCTTCTAAATTCATGAAATAGAATGATAATATTCCAGCTTAAATCTCAGAATCATAATTAGCTAAAAAGCTTACAGATTGCAGTACATTTTCCCAACATAGTTCAAAGGAAAAACAAATTATAGAGAAGACAAGGGCTAGGAAAAAAGATATCAATCTACAGATTTTAAATTAGGGAAAATTGATGCCAAACCCATTTTGTATACCAATTAAAATTAGCAGTTTGACATAATATTAAAAATCATCAAAATTTCCAGAAATATGCAAAAAAAAGGTTAAAAATCAAGAAAATGTTGAAATCAGTAATATGTAAATTACTTAAAATATAATTCCATGACAAATACTCAATTTGAAATCAATAGTTCAAACTCTGCCAATTCGTAATCCTCTACAGCTATGCTTGACCGCTCAGAAAATAGAAGAAAAAATTAAAAAATAAAATAAAAATCTACATTCTTATTATCTTTCTTTATCGCTTCAAATGCAAAAAGAAACATAAACAAAAAAGGTTTTCTTTCATTTTCTCGGGAAACAAACGGAGGGATTTGCGTGGATTTTCTTACCTTTGAAAAAACAAAGATCCCGCGAAAGTTGTCCAATGCTTGAAATTTGAGGAGGGAAATCGTAAAAAAGGCGCTTTTATTAAACAAAAATAAAATAAAATAAAAAAGTGCTGCTTGGGCAAAATTGGAATAAAAAATTTGTCCTTGTGCAAAAGGTGTTATCTATATTGTGTTTGATTTTAATTTCACATAAAATTTAAAAATATTTAAGTTGAATTTTCACTTTGGTTTATAGTAAGAATACTAATCCTAATAGTATTTTAAAAATAATATAACACTTAAAAAAAATTTTAAATTATTTCAAAACAATTAAAATAAATTTTTTTATTATATTTAATTAAATTTTTATATCTTTATTTTACAACAAATAAACTTTTATCACTATATTACTTAATATTTTATATCATGTTCCATTGTCGTTACATACTATCATATCATAATTGTTGATGATACAATATGTAAATGTGACTTGATGATATGATAATATGATATTTTTCATATTTTATGTTAATAGCACATGTACAAAAAAAATAAATAATATTTTAATTAATTATAATTAATTAATTTTTATAAAAATTTATTTAAATTAAAATAAAATATAAAAATTTGATTAAATGTAATAAAAATAAAAATTTATTTAAATTATTTTAAATAATTAAAATGTTTTTCAAGTATTATATTTATAAAAAAAAAAGACCTTTAGTAATTTCTTTAATTTTGTGCATTTACCTATTCTTTTTTCAAAGTTTTTTTTTTTTGTTAGTCCGTTTATCTTGCAAATTTCATTTTGTAAAAAATTATTAAGTTTTTTTTTTGGTAAGTAAATTTAAGGATATACGGAGATTTGAATTCGGTTTTATGAACCAATGCTTATATTCAATTATCTTGACTGTTAGATTTTTTTTTTGGCCTATTTTTAATTGATAATTTTGATTTAATAAGATTGATTATTAAATTACAGATCTTGGGTCTAAAGATAATTTACAAATGACCCTGTACAAGATGAAGCTTGCTCAATATCTCATCTAATGCTTCAACTGTATCCTTGTAACGATCTTGTGATTTCCTGCCTTCCTCAACGACCTGCATAATGCATTTGCACAGATGATCATACCTATGAACTGGGTTATTAACATCGATGCCACCACAGCTGTGATTCAGAACATAACTACGTTTGATATCTTTTCTCCATCGTGATAGAATGTACTGAGGTGGGATCTCCTCCAGGCCATTCTGGTGAAGGACGTTCAGTGCATGCCGGCACAAATATCCTCTGAGGTTGAACAAACCGCAAACACAGAGCACTTCCATTTCAGTTGCATTGTACAAAACCTCAAAATCCCTGGTCTCCCTTCTGTTTGCCTCTACGTCGATTTGTTCCCTGACAATGTATGTGGTTATTTGTCCCTCAACATTTATTTGTCTTGTGCTAAAACAGGAGTACATCCCTTCCACCTCCCGTTCAAATTCCCTTAGTATGTTGTTTGTGTACAATTTTGCGAGCTGCAACTCAAAATAACATCTTGATTTCATCATAAAACCTGAATTTCTTGAGTCCATATCTGCCAAAGTTTCAAGCTGATGATTTTCCTGTAGGGCTTGCTCGTATTTATCCAAAAATTCTTTCAAACAAGTATGTTTATCAAGATAGCCATCAAAAAATGACTCCATAACCTCATTTGGCCGAGTTGGAAACATTCCTGCAAGAAATATCTCCTTTAAATAAACAGGAACCCATCGTCTGCGATCTTCATATAATGTTTGAAGCCATATATGATCCCTGATTCCATGACGGTTAACCATATCTTCCCAAGCTGCTTCAAATTCCTCAGGCCTTAGGGAGTAATAAACTGCATTGTTTAATGACATTCTAATTGCTTCAAATTCGTACAGTTCACCAAGTTTCTCTGGAACTTTTTGCATTATACATGACAAACTGAGACAATGTGAAGCCCTTGGAAAAACATCAGCAACAGCAGCATGCAGTGTTCTACATTGATCAGTAATGATAGCCTGTGGAGGGCGTCCTAACACGCATGTAAGCCATGCCCTAAACAACCATGTATATGATTCAATAGTCTCACCTGCAAGTAAACCACAACCCAACAGCACAGACTGTCCATGATGATTCACTCCAACAAATGAAACCAATGGTACTTCATATTTGTATGTCAAACATGTAGTGTCAATAACAACTACATCAGCAAAGTAACCATAAGCAACTCTAGACCTTGCATCAATCCAGAATAAATTCCTCAAACACCCTTTCTCATTGAGATCCACCACATAAATGAAGTTTGGATCAGTCATCTGCAAACAACTAAAATAATTATGAACAGCTTGTGCATCTCCTTCTTTAAGCCTCAATTGATTAGATTTGCTACGAGTAGTCCGGAATTCTCCATCACTGACTTCCGCACTCTCATTTCCCTCAACATCGATAACCACTGTTCGAAAAAGCTTAATTTTTTTAACTTCATCAGCACCATCTAACTGCAATGCTCTTTTGGTTCCAAGACCTACGTG